GAGTTGGTCCCCCCTTTGCTGCTATAACAGCCTCCACTCTTCTGGGAAGGCTTTCCACTAGATGTTGGAACATTGCTGCGGGGACTTGCTTCCATTCAGCCACAAGAGCATTAGTGAGGTCGGGCACTGATGTTGGGCGATTAGGCCTGGCTCGCAGTCGGCATTCCAATTCATCCTAAAAGTGTTCAATGGGGTTGAGGTCAGGGCTCTGTGCAGGCTAGTCAAGTTCTTCCACACCAATCTCGACAAACCATTTCTGTATGGACCTCGCTTTGTGCACGGGGGCATTGTCATGCTGAAACAGGAAAGGGCCTTCCCCAAACTGTTGTCACAAAGTTGGAAGCACAGGATCGTCTAGAATGTCATTGTATGATGTAGCGTTAAGATTTCCCTTCACTGGAACTAAGGGGCCTAGCCCGAACCATGAAAAGCAGCCCCAGACCATTATTCCTCCTCCATCAATCTTTACAGTTAGCACTATGCATTGGGGCATGTAGCGTTCTCCTGGCATGCTCCAAACTCCGATCCTTCCGTCCATCGGACTGCCAGATGGTGAAGCGTGATTCATCACTCCAGAGAATGCGTTTCCACTGCTTTAGAGCCCAATGGCGGCGAGCTTTACACCACACCAGCCGACGCTTGGCATTGCGCATGGTGATCTTAGGCTTGTGTGCGGCTGCTCGGCCATGGAAACCCATTTCATGAAGCTCCCAACGTTTGGATCTCGGTAGTGAGTGTTGCAACCGAGGACTGATGGTTTTTACGCGCTACGCGCTTCATCGGTCCCATTCTGTGAGTTTGTGTGGCCTAACACTTCGCGGCTGAGCCGTTGTTGCTCCTAGACGTTTCCATTTCACAATAACAGCACTTACAGTTGACCGGGGCAGCTTTAGAAGGGCAGAAATGTGATGAACTGACTTGTTGGAAAGGTGACATCCAATGACTGTGCCACGTTGAAAGTCACTGAGCTCTTCAGTAAGGCCATTCTACTGCCAATGTTTGTCTATGGAGATTGCATGGCTGAGTGCTCGATTTTATACACCTGTCAGCAACGGGTGTGGCTGAAATAGCCGAATCCACTAATTTGAAGGGGTATCCATATACTTTTGGCCATGTAGTGTATTTTATTAGGATCCCCCTTAGCTGTTGCGAAAGCCGCAGCTACTCTTCCTGGGGTCCACATAGAACATGAAACATTACATAATACAGAACATTAATAGATAAGAACAGCTCAAGGACAGAACTACATACATTTAAAAACAGCATGCATAGCCTACATACTGTATCAATACATACACACAAAATATCTAGGTCAAATAGGGGAGAGGCGTTGTGCCGTGAGGTGTTGCTTTATCTCGTTTTTTTTTAACCAAGTTTGCTGTTCATTTGAGCAGTATGAGATCGGAGTTCCATGCAATAATGGCTCTATGTAATACTGTACGCTTTCTTGAATTAGTTCTGGATTTGGGGACTGTGAAAAGACCCCTGGTGGCTTGTCTGGTCGGGTAAGTGTGTGTGTCAGAGCTGTGCGTAAGTTGACTATGCAAACTATTTGGAATTTTCAACACATGAATGTTTCTTATAAAAAGAAGTGATGCAGTCAGTCTCTCCTCAACTCTTAGCCAAGAGAGACTGGCATGCATATTATTTATATTATCCCTCTGATTACAATGAAGCGCAAGACGTGCTGCTCTGTTCTGGGCCAGCTGCAGCTTAACTAGGTCTTTCTTAGCAGCACTTGACCACAAGGCTGGACAATAATCAAGATAAGATCAAACTAGAGCCTGCAGGACTTTGTGGAGTGTGGTGTCAAAAAAGAAGAACATCTCTTTATTACAGACAGACCTCTCCCCATCTTTACAACCATTGAATCTATATGTTTTGACCATGACAGTTTACAATCTAAGGTAACACCAAGCAATTTAGTCTCCTCAACTTCTTCAACAGCCACACCATTCCTTACCAGGTTCAGCTGAGGTCTAGTGCTTAGAGAATGATTTGTACCAAATACAATCTTGTTAGATTTAGAGATTCAGTTTATTACTGGACACCCATTCCACAACAGGCTGCAACTCCTTGTTAAGGGTTTCAGTTACTTCATTAGCTGTGGTTGATGACACGTATATGGTTGAAACATCAGCATACATGGACACCAGGCTTTGTTTAATGCCAGTGGCATGTCATTGGTAAAAATAGAAAAAAGTAGAGGGCCTAGAGAACTGCCCTGCGGTACACCACACCCTACATGTTTGACATTAGAGAAGCTTCCATTAAAGAAAACCCTCAAATTTCTATTAGATAGATACAGTGCATTCGGAAAGTATTCAGACCCCTTGACTTTTTCCACATATTGTTATGTTACAGCCTTTTTCTAAAATGGATTAAATAATGTTTTGCCCTCATCAATCTACACACAATACCCCATAATGACAAAGCAAAAACAGGTTTTTAGAAATGTTTGCAAATGTATTACAAATAAAAAACAGAAATACCTTATTTACATAAGTATTCAGACCCTTTGCTATGAGACTCGAAATTGAGCTCAGGTGCATCCTGTTTCCATTGATCATCCGTGGAGATGTTTCTACAACTTGACTGGAGTCCACCTGTGGTAAATTCAATTGATTGGACATGATTTGGAAAGGAACACACCTGTCTATATAAGGTCCCACAGTTGACAGTGCATGTCAGAGCAAAAACCAAGCCATGAGGTCGAAGGAATTGTCCGTAGAGCGCCGAGACAGGATTGTGTCGAGGCACAGAACTGGGGAAGGGTACCAAAAAATGTCTGCAGCATTGAAGGTCCCCAAGAACACAGTGGCCTACATCATTCTTAAATGGAAGAAGTTTGGAACCACCAAGACTCTTCCTAGAGCTGGCCGCCCAGCCAAACTCAGCATTCGAGAGAGAAGGGCCTTGGTCAGGGAGGCACATTACAGCCCACTTGGAGTTTGCCAAAAGGCACCTAAAGGATTCTCAGACCATGAGAAACAAGATTCTCTGGTCTGATGAAACCAAGATTGAACCCTTTGGCCTGAATGCCAAGCGTCACGTCAGGAGGAAACCTGGCACCATGCTTCACCGTAGGGATGGTGGTGGCAGCATCATGCTGTGGGGATGTTTATCAGCGGCAGCAACTGGGAGACTAGTCAGGATCGAGGGAAACATGAACGGAGCAAAGTACAGAGAGATCCTTGATGAAAACCTTCTCCAGAGCGCTCATGACCTCAGACTGGGGCGAGTTTCACCTTCCAACAGGACAACGACCCTAAGCACACAGCCAAGACAACGCAGGAGTGGCTTCGGGACAAGTCTCCGAATTTCCTTGAGTAGCCCAGCCAGAACCCGGACTTGAACCCGATCGAACATCTCTGGAGAGACCTGAAAATAGCTGTGCAGCGACGCTCCGCGTCCAGCCTGACAGAGCTTGAGAGGATCTGCAGAGATGAAATGGGAGAAACTCCCCAAATACAGGTGTGCCAAGCTTGTAGCGTCATACCCAAGCAGAATCAAGGCTGTAATCGCTGTCAACGGTGCTTCAACGAAATACTGAGTAAAGGGTGTGAATACTTATGTAAATGTGCTAGTTTTTTATTTGAATACATTTGCTAAAATTTCTAAAACCCATTTTTTTCTTTGTCATTAGTGGGTATTGTTTGTAGATTGATGAGGGGGGAAACAATTTCATCAATTTTAGAATAAGACTGTAACGTAACAGAATTAGGAAAAAGTCAAGGGGTCTGAATACTTTCCGAATGCACTGTAGCTCTGAATCCATGATATGGCAGAGGATGAAAAGCCATAAAACATACGTTTCCTCAACAACAGGTTATGGTAAATAATATCAAAGGCTGCAATGAAATCTAACAGTACAGAATAAGAATGAAACAAGAATGATATAGAAGCACACTACATACAGGTAGGAACTGGATGGACTTATTTTGTTAAACGTCTTTTGTTTTATTTTCTAATCAAGTTAGAAGAACACCTAATTGAACCCATACTTACTGTAGAAGTATTCATCCACTAGTTTGTGCTTTTTAATAACATCCTGAGAATGAAGCTATTCATTAATTAATTTTCACGAATCAATTGTCACAGTGGACTAATGACAAACCAAAACAGATTAACCAAAAACCAGTATTGCAGGTATCATGAGTATAACATATTTTCAAAAATGAGGATGTTAAAAAGAGCAGTCTCCCTAACAAATCTTAAGTAGGATTGAAGAACACAATTGAATATACACCATTTGATATATACTCTAAACCAGACATTACATGATTAACCTTCTCATTGACAAATATATGAAAGTATGATATCACACCTATATAATTCCTATTGCCATGGCAATCCATAGGCAACACATTCAAATATGTGGGTATCAGTGGAGGCTGCTGAGGGGAGGACGGCTCATAATAATGGCTGGAATGGAGTGAGTGGAATGGTATCATGGTTGTGTTTGATACCAATACATTCAGTCCATTCCAGCCATTACACTCCTCCCCTCAGTAGCCTCCACCAGTGAGTATAGTCAACTCCTGATAAGTGCACCCTCTGTTTCAGTACAGTGCAGTTAATTCACATATACATTATTTTGACTTGCTCCAGATATCTGCATGCATGCTATCTGCTCGCTCCAGTTAAGTGCATGTCTTCACGCCAGTCCAAGCCACTGCATACTGTACGTCAGGAGTTGACTAATTTAGGTCCTAGAAATGGGTGGACACTAACATGAGGTCATTTGCATCTACAGTAATGAATATAAAACTGTTGACAAACAGCACACATTTCATACACAACAAATATACAGTATTTATCTAAGTAACAATACAAAATGTATTACCTTGCTTTAGTCTTTACTCACTGTTAAAATCACATCTATATTTCCTGTTGAAAATGTTTAATGCAAGGCAAGCAGTAAGTCTACAACAATAGATGTAAAAGTAAAAAAATATTGAAGACCTTGAGAATCTCCATGGGGAGATCACACACAGTGCAGAGGAATCTTTTCATTACTAAAACTCTTATTTATAACTTATTTACAGAGAAAGCCAGCTCCTCGTGTGTAGAGCAGGGATGGGAAATTGGCGGCCCTTTTTTTAGAATACACAAGATGCAATTTCGAAATGTGGTTTTGCACATGTGGGTAAGCAGACCTGCGAGTACCTACGGCCCCTCATGATGAGTTCAGATTTTTTGTGGCCCCCATGCCCATCAAAGTTGGCCATCCCTGGTGTAGAATATTTTTGTATGCTGTGAGTCAGTATGGTGATAATTGGGATATATTCTCTGTGTGTGTAGCCTGTGTGATACAAGTTATCTCACTGTGTGTTGGAGTTGAGTGTGTATAGACAACCCAGCAGAGGGCACTGTTCTGTGTTTGTGGTATGATTTCCCCATCCTTACTATTCCTCTGTAGATCTTAGGAAGCATATTGCACTTGTCCCAGACCAGCAGCCATTCTGAAAGCATTGGAACCACTGATCTTGAATAGAATGTTCTAGAATTTGGAATCTTCTTGTTGTCATCCTGCTGTCAATCATCCTGTAAGGGTTGTGTCCTCTAGCCTACAAATATTCCTCCTCTTTCACATACAGGATCTCATTGGCTGAACTAGGGACCTTAAAGACAGTTAGACAGAGACAGATAGTAAATAACGAGTGTGTGTGTGTGTGTGTGTGTGTGTGTGTGTGTGTGTGTGTGTGTGTGTGTGTGTGTGTGTGTGTGTGTGTGACAACATGCAGAGCAATACTCCAGCACCTGGTTGACTCCTCCCACCACCAGCAGGCGGTCCCTGATGACGATGGACGAGGCGGAGCATCGTGCCATTGCCATGGGAGCCAGTCTCTCCCACTTCCTCTTCTGAGGGTGGAAGGCTTCCACCGTGTCCAGAACTGAAGGCTGGTGACCTGGGGACCACGCACAGTCATCATACGGTGTGCATTCGGAAAGTAATCAGACCCCTTGACTTTTTCCACATTTATTACGTTACAGCCTTATTCTAAAATTGATTAAATTGTTTTTCCAATCTACACACAATACCCCATAATGACAAAGCAAAAACAGGTTTTTAGAAATGTTTGCAAATGTATTTATAAAAACAAAGGAAATATTAAATTTACATAAGTATTCAGACCCTTTACTCAGTACTTTGTTGAAGCACCTTTGGCAGCGATACAGCCTCGAGTCTTCTTGGGTATGCCGCTATAAGCTTGGCACACCTGTATTTGGGGAGTTTCTCCCATTCTTCTCTGCAGATCCTCTCAAGGTCTGTCAGGTTGGATGGGGAGCGTTGCTGCACAGCTATTTTCAGGTCTCTTCAGAGATGTTCAATCGGGTTCAAGTCCGGGCTCTGGCTGGGCCAATCATTCAGAGACTTGTCCCGAAGCCACTGCTGCGTTGTCTTGGCGTTATCCAGTTCGAAAGTGAACCTTCGCCCCAGTCTGAGGTCCTGAGCAGGTTTTCATCAAGGATCTCTCTGTACTTTGCTCCGTTCATCTTTCCCTCGATCCTGACTAGTCTCCCAGGCCCTCCCGCTGAAAAACATCCCCACAGCATGATGCTGCCACCACCATGCTTCACCGTAGGGATGGTGCCAGGTTTCCTCTAGATTTGACGTTTGGCATTCAGGCCAAATAGTTCAATCTTGGTTTCATCAGACCAGAGAATCTTGTCTCTCATGGTCTGAGAGTCCTTTAGGTGCCTTTTGGCAAACTCCAAGCGGGCTGTCATGTGCCTTTTACTGAGGTGTGGCTTCCGTCTGGCCACTCTACCATAAAGGCCTGATTGGTGGATTGCTGCAGAGATGGTTGTCCTTCTGGAAGGTTCTCCAATCTCCACAGAGGAACTCTGGAGCTCTGTCAGAGTGACCATCGGGTTCTTGGTCACCTCCCTGACTAAGGCCCTTCTCCCCCAATTGCTCAGTTTGGCCAGGCGGCCAGCTCTAGGAAGAGTCTTGGTGGTTCCAAACTTCTTCCATTTAAGAATGACACAATCCTGTCTCGGAGCTCTACGGACAATTCCTTCGACCTCCTGGCTTGGTTTTTGCTCTGACATGCACTGACTTTATATAGACAGGTGTGTGCCTTTCCAAATCATGTCCAATCAATTTGCCACAGGTGGACTCCAATCAAGTTGTAGAAACATCTCAAGGATGATCAATGGAAACAGGATGCACCTGAGCTCAATTTCGAGTCTCATAGCAAAGGGTCTGAATACTTATGTAAATAAGGTATTTCTGTTTTGTATTATTTTGATAAATTAGCAAAAAAAAAAAAAGGGGTATTGTATTGATGAGGATTTTTATTGTATTTAATCCATTTTAGAATAAGGCTGTAACGTAACAAAATGTGGAAAAAGTCAAGGGGTCTGAATACTTTCTAAATGCACTGTATGTTCATAACACATTGTCATGACCAACTAGCGTTCAACAAAAACACACGTATATGAGCACATATACACACACACATTCACACTCCCTCACCGAGTCCTCCTGCTACGACCATCCTGCCCCTGAGGAAAGATGAGGCGAAGTCAGCCCTCTTAGTCTTCATGGCCACCGTGTACTCTGACTTCAACCACAACCCTGGAGGGAGACAGGAGAGGACAATGTTAGAGTGTGTGCGTGCGTGTGCAAGTGTAAACCACATTTGAATGAGGGTGGGGGAGGCAGGGAAGTGTGTGTACAATCAACTTTGACCACTGCATAAAACTCCAGCAAGATTTCAATTTTCTTATTTCCATTTATTGTGGAATCCTGCAAGCTACAATTTGGTATGTCCCTGAACGCTGGTGGCATCACAACTCAATAAGAAATACTGTGCACACCATGAATACAAATGTCCACACACACACCAAGCTACCAGGTCATGGCCCCAGATATTAGAAATAAGAAAATAGGGTCAATATCCTATAAAACCACCCAATCTGAACACTTTAATTGCTTCAAAGGAGAAAAACAAGCTATTTTCCTCTATTACAGTAAATTGGCATTTATTTACACTTGTACTTAGGCAAACATTTGTGCTGCTAAAGACAGTGAAACTATTTCAGAGAAACAGCAACTAGGGAGATTTTGTAGATTTTCAAATAATATTTTAAAGCTTTTATGTTGTCTGTAAGAAACCCAAGCCTGCGTGAGTTTAGTGTCTCTGACTTCACAATCAGCTCCACAGAGAGAGAGAGCGGAAGACAGAGAGAGACATAGAGAGGAAAACTTAACCAGAGCAGATAAAAGCACTTTGTTAATGAAGTGTTGCGATGCCAGCCCATTTTTGAGCTTGAAAGGGAATAAGGCGGAGCACAGCTGGCGACGGGCACACTGCTCTGCGACTCACTGACAGGGCCTTTGTTGTTGAAGTGTTGGCTGGCTGGCACTCTCAGGGGCTTCCTCTAAATAACTTTTTAAAACATATAATATTCAGCACTAAGTTCCCTTTTTCCTGCAGACTCAGAGGGTGGGGCACACACTAACACACTAAGACAGGTCAGAGAGTTGAGTTGCTCTACTACAGATAGCTGAACTAGAAGGGACTGGAGATATTGCAGTTGTGTAGTTATTGTATGTGCTGGGCTGTGTGTAGAGAGTGTGTATTGGTGTGATGTGTTTTCTACAGTTCTGTAGAGGCTTTGGTAGTCAGTGGTTTTCCATTGAACAGATTACGATGAGCTACAGTCAGACAGACATGGAGAACACAATTCTGGATACTAGAAAATCCGGTGCTCTACTTTGTAATGAGTCATCATTATGTCATATTACACAATGTCTGTCTTTGTATATTGGAGTCATTTTAATATTCTACTTTTATCAATGTAATCTACACTCAGTGGCCAGTTTATTATTAGGTACACCCATCTAGTACCAGGTCGGACCCCACTTTGCCTCCAGAACAGCTTGAATTCTTCGGGGCATGGAAGAATTGCTCAATTGGTATCAAGGGACCTAATGTGTGCCAGGAAAACATTTCATACACCATTACACCACCACCACCAGCCTGTACCGTTGACACAAGACAGAATGGGGCCATGGACTCATGCTGTTTATGCCAAATCCTGACTCTGCCATCAGCATGACACAACAGGAACCGGGATTCATTGGACCAGGTGATGTTTTTCCACTCCTCAATTGTCCAGTGTTGGTGAATGCGTGCCCACTGCAGCCGCTTCTTCTTGTTTTTAGCTGATAGGAGTGGATTCTTGCCATTCTCCTTCGACATCTCATCAAAGAGCTGTTTTCGCCCACAGGACTGCCACTGACTGGATGTTTTTTGTTTGTCGCACCATTCTCTGTAAAACCTAGACACTGTTGTGCGTGAAAAGCCCAGGAGGCCAGCTGTTTCTGAGATACTAGAACTAGCGCCTGGCACCAACGATCATACCACGCTCAAAGTTGCTTAGGTCACTCGTTCTGCCCATTCTAACGTTCAATCGAACAGTAACTGAGTGCCTCGATGCCTGTCTGCCTGCTTTATATAGCAAGCCATGGCCACTTGACTCACTGTCTGTAGGAGCTAACCAATTTCGTGAACGGGGTGGTGTACCTAATAAACTGGCCACTGAGTGTATACTTCCAATGCAGCTTGTTGCTGCTATTTTGCACGCACATTTTCTGTCAACATTCTAAAAAAATATATATCAAGACATTGAAGAATAGGTAAATCCAGAGCCATATAATCAGATATCTAAATAAATGGCTCTGGGTAAATCTAACAATGTGAGCTACAGAGTATAATATCCCTGTGTGAGAGTTGCAGACACCATGACCATCTGTGGAGGAAGATAATAACGCAATCTGTTTCTGAATCCTGTAATTTAAACACCTCCCTCCCTCCGTGCTATAGCTCATCTCCCATCTCATCTCCACTTAGATTAGATTGGGAGGGAATGTGAATGGGCCTTATTGTTTACTGTGTGTGTGTGTGTGTGAGGGCCTTATTTGTGTGTGTGTGTGTGTGTGTGTGTGTGTGTGTGTGTGTGTGTGTGTGTGTGTGTGTCTGAGGAGGAAGGTAGGGAGGAAGGTAGAGTAAATGTATGTCTGATATCTCTGGAGTAAAACCCAGACAGCCTGCCAGCTGGCCAGACATACATTCTCACCGTGGTGTTTGGCTTTGATTGGTTAAAATAGACAAATCAAAATGCGTGACAAAATACCCTATTGTTTGAAATTACTTATCGATTTTTTTACCTGGGTATGGCTCTCACTTTTCTCTTCCTGGTCTATTCTCAATTTGACCATTTGTTATTCATTTTCTGTGAGACAGAAGATAAGTTGTTTTTCCAGGAATATGAGATGTGTGTGTGTGCAGCATGCAGCCAGCTTTTACTCTTAGAGAATTACTTTTCTTTGGGGAGAAATTTTATAGGATGAATGTCTGACAGGCACTTCAAAATTAATAGGAGACGCTATCAGTATGATGATACACACACATACACATGTGTGTTTGTCTTAGTGTGTGTTCTATATTGTACATGCAGAGAGTGATCTCTTATCCCCTTACTCTCTCTCAGATTTACAGTAGAATATAGTAGAATAGAATAGAGCAGAATAGAATAGAACTTTATTGTGTAACTGGAAAAGGAAATCAGTGCACTTAAATGTATACAGTGAGGGAAAAAATTATTTGATCCCCTGCTGATTTTGTAAGTTTGCCCACTGACAAAGAAATGATCAGTCTATAATTTTAATGGTAGGTTTATTTGAACAGTGAGAGACAGAATAACAACAAAACAATCCAGAAAAACGCATGTCAAAAATGTTATAAATTGATTTGCATTTTAATGAGGGAAATAAGTATTTGACCCCCTCTCAATCAGAAAGATTTCTGGCTCCCAGGTGTCTTTTATACAGGTAACGAGCTGAGATTAGGAGCACACTCTTAAAGGGAGTGATCCTAATCTCAGCTTGTTACCTGTATAAAAGACACCTGTCCACAGAAGCAATCAATCAATCAGATTCCAAACTCTCCACCATGGCCAAGACCAAAGAGCTCTCCAAGGATGTCAGGGACAAGATTGTAGACCTACACAAGGCTGGAATGGGCTACAAGACCATCGCCAAGCAGCTTGGTGAGAAGGTGACAACAGTTGGTGCGATTATTCGCAAATGGAAGAAACACAAAATAACTGTCAATGCAAGATCTCACCTCGTGGAGTTGCAATGATCATGAGAACGGTGAGGAATCAGCCCAGAACTACACGGGAGGATCTTGTCAATGATCTCAAGGCAGCTGGGACCATAGTCACCAAGAAAACAATTGGTAACACACTACGCCGTGAAGGAAATGAAATCCTGCAGCGGCCGCAAGGTCCCCCTGCTCAAGAAAGCACATATACAGGCCCGTCTGAAGTTTGAAAATGAACATCTGAATGATTCAGAGGAGAACTGGGTGAAATTGTTGTGGTCAGATGAGACCAAAATCGAGCTCTTTGGCATCAACTCAACTCGCCATGTTTGGAGGAGGAGGAATGCTGCCTATGACCCCAAGAACACCATCCCCACCGTCAAACATGGAGGTGGAAACATTACGCTTTGGGGGTGTTTTTCTGCTAAGGGGACAGGACAACTTCACTGCATCAAAGGGACGATGGATGGGGCCATATACCTCCTTCCCTCAGCCAGGGCATTGTTTTATCTGGATTTTGTTGTTGTTATTCTGTCTCTCACTGTTCAAATAAACCTACCATTAAAATTATAGACTGATCATGTCTTTGTCAGTGGGCAAACATACAAAATCAGCAGGGGATCAAATACTTTTTTCCCTCACTGTATGTGTTTGTGAATGTGTTTTTTGGTGGTTCTTACCCTGGTTAGTATCAAAGATGTTGACATTCTTGGTGAACTTGGAGCTCTGGTGGCCCCCTCCCTTCCTTAGCCCCCCCAGCAGACACAGCCTCCCTGAACTGTCCCAGAACACGCCCCCATACGAACGTTTGCACGGCATGTTCGGTAGTGTACTCCAGGAGCGTGTCTCTGAATCAAATACCTCAAAGACCTTCAACGTGCGCTTACACTGACGCCCACCTAGAGAGAACACACACACTTAGTATACACATTACACGTGCAAACTGGCAAACATGCACGCAAGCATGAACAAACACCCAAACACACACACCCTTTCCTTACCTGCCACGTAGATTTTGTTGCCCAGTAGGTGTGCTGTAGCATCATATCTCGGTGTGGGCATAGGTGGCAGTAGTGCCCACACATTCTTCCTCAGGTCATACTGCTGCAGTATACTACGGGGGAGCAGGTCTGAACCCATTCCACCCACTGCCAACGCACGCCCATCTACAGAGAAGGGTGAGAGAGAGAAAGGTGGAGGAGGTGGAAACTGAGCCATTAACATGGATCTGGCCATGTACAGAATGCACGTATATACACTACCAGTCAAAAGTTTGGACACACTTACTCATTCAAGGGGTTTTCTTTATTTTTTACTATTTTCTACATTGTAGAATAATAGTGAAGACATCAAAACTATGAAATAACACATATGGAATCATGTAGTAACCAAAAACGTGTTCAACAAATCAAATAGCCACCCTTTGCCTTGATGACAGCATTGCACATTCTTGGCAATCTCTCAACTAGCTTCATGAGGTCGTCACCTGGAATGCATTTAAATTAACACGTGTGCCTTCTTAAAAGTTAATTTGTGGAATTTCTTTCCTTCTTAATGCATTTGAGCCAATCAGTTGTGTTGTGACAAGGTAGGGGGGTTATATAGAAGATAGCCCTATTTGGTAAAATACCATGTCCATATTATGGCAAGAACAGCTCAAGTAAGCAAAGCGAAACGACAGTCCATCATTACTTTAAGACATGAAGGTCAGTCAATACGGAACATTTCAAGAACTTTGAAAGCTTCTTCAAGTGCAGTCGCAAAAACAATCAAAACTGGCTTTCATGAGGACCGCCACAGGAATGGAAGACCCAGAGTTACCTCTGCTGCAGAGGATAAGTTCATTAGAGTTACCAGCCTCAGAAATTGCAGCCCAAATAAATGCTTCACAGAGTTCAAGTAACAGACACATCTCAACATCAACTGTTCAGAGGGGACTGTGTATATCAGGCCTTCATGGTCGAATTGCTGCAAAGAAACCACTACTAAAGGACACCAATAATAATAAGAGACCTGCTTGGGCCAAGAAAGATGAGCAATGGACATTACACCGGTGGAAATGTGTCCTTTGGTCTGGAGTCCAAATTTGAGATTTTTGGTTCCAACCGCCGTGTCTTTGTGAGACGCGGTGTGGGTGAACGGATGATCTCCACATGTGTAGTTCCCACCGTAAAGCATGGAGGAGGAGGTGTTATGGTGTGGGGGTGCTTTGCTGGTGACACTGTCTGTGATATATTTAGAATTCAAGGCACACTTAACCAGCATGGCTACCACAGCATTCTGCAGCGAAACGCCATCCCATCTGGTTTGGGCTTAGTGGGACTATCATTTGTTTTTCAACAGGACAATGACCCAACACACATCCAGGCTGTGTAAGGGCTATTTTACCAAGAAGGAGAGTGATGGAGTGCTGCATCAGATGACCTGGCCTCCACAATCCCCCGACCTCAACCCAATTGAGATGGTTTGGGATGAGTCGGACAGCAGAGTGAAGGAAAAGCAGACAACAAGTGCTCAGCATATGTGGGAACTCCTTCAAGACTGTTGGAAAAGCATTCCAGCTGAAGCTGGCTGAGAGAATGCTAAGAGTGTGCAAAGCTGTCATCAAGACAAAGGGGGGCTATTTGAAGAATCTCAAATATAAAATATACTTTGATTTGTTTAACAGTTTTTTGGTTACTACATTATTCCATATGTGTTATTTCATAGTTTTGCTGTCTTCACTATTATTCTGCAATGTAAAAAATAGTAAAAATAAAGAAAAACCCTTGAATGAGTAGGTGTGTCCAAACTTTTGACTGGTACTGTATGTCCCAGTGCCACTGACTCAGTAGCCCCTACACACCTTTCACAGTGACGGCCGCCCCCATCAGTGCTTCTCTGAGGGCGCTCCTCTTCTTCCACCTCCCCTCCTCTGTGTTGTACACCTCCACCACCTTCAGAGGGTGCTGGTCCTCCCCCACACCACCCACAACCAGGATCTGTTTGCCCAGCACCGCCACGGCCGCACCCGCCCGAGGGGTGGGCATGGGGGGCAAGCTTAACCACTGGTCCCCCTGAAAACAACAATAAATAAAGTGTAATTAATTACATGGTCTATTAGTCCTGTGTGTATGTTTGAACCGATGCGTTCTGTGTTTAATCCTGTGTGTGTTTCTGTGCGTGTGGGTCGTGTGTGTTTGTGCGTGTATGTGTGTGTATGCTCCAACCTACCTCTGGAGAGTAGAGTTCCAGGGCTGGGGAGGGCCTCCCTGCAGCATCACAGCCCCCCAGCATGTACATCTGCCCCCCCACCTCTGCCAGGGAGTGGTAGACACGCCCACTGGGCAGCCGAGCCAGGCTCTGCCAGTGGAACTCCAGGGCCGAGGGCACAGACATCTGTATCTCAGCCCAGGGAGGGGAAGGGTTGCTGGGGGAGAGGTGAGGGAGAGGTGGGTCCAGGGAACCAGAGATGGAGTTGGACAGGTTTAGCACCCCGGGGTATAGTGCCGTGTCTACGGGAAGAGTCGAGAGAGTGGTGTTGTCAGGAGATCCAGAGAACCAGGTGGAAAACCAGAGATAGCGGGTGGAGCAAGGTCAGCAAAGCCCAACCGGAGGCTCTTCCCTGGGGTTGACCACCGGCTCGGTCTAGGTCCTGGAGGAAATGAGAGGGAAGGATGATTAGTATGGAACAGGAAGGAGATTGTAATATAATCCAATACAAGGACATAAAGAGTACTCATCTAAATTCCCTCTGACTCAGAATAATATGGTAATTTAGCAGATGCTTCTAATAAAAGCAACCTACAGCTATTTACTATTGAATAGATTGGATGTTCTGTTGTAGACTTTGGCTGTGTGTGTGTGTGTGCGTGTCATGGCCCTCTTTAGCTGTGTACACAATCAGGATGAAGTGGGCTTTACAAGCAGAGGCAAACATCCATCAGTAACCAGGCAACCATCCTTCCCTTCCCCCCATCCCCCTCCCTCTTCCTCCTCTCTCTCCGTGTCTGGTTCTTGTCTGTAACCTACTTCGTCTACCCACACAGACAGTGTGACTGAGCAGCAGCAGCGGCATGGTGGATCAGCTCAGTGTGCTCTCATAGTCCGAGAGCATCTGGTCGTCGCAATGGTGGCACAGGGCTACTCGTTTCTCCCGAGTGGCGCAGTGGTCTAAGGCACTGCATCGCAGTGCTAGCTGTGCCACTAGAGATCCTGGTTAGAGTCCAGGCTCTGTCGCAGCCGGCCGCAACCAGGAGACCCATGGGCGGCGCACAATTGGTCCAGCGTCGTCCAAGGTAGGGGAGGGTTTGGCCGGCAGGGATGTGGGTTCGTTTCCCACGGGGGGCCAGTATGAAAAAATAATTTTAAAAAATGCATTCACTAACTGTAAGTCACTCTGGATAAGAGCATCTGCTAAATGACTAAAATGAAAGTGGAGATTTTTTATTTTCTCCCTCACTCACCTGCCCATCTCGTCATTTGAATTCCATGCTGTCACTGTCACTTGTCCCCTCAAGTTTAACATTGTTGTCATCTATCCCCCATCAGGTGGCCTTAAAGTGTTCCTCAATGAGCTTGACACCTTCATAAGCTAATTTCCTGACGATGGCTCACCGCTCTTCGCACTTGGCGACTTCAACCTCTCGGCATCTGCCTTCAATTCATTTATTTCCAACTCTCTCTTACCTCTCCTTGCCTCTTTTGACCTCACCCTTTCCCAGTCCCCTCCCACTCACAAGGCAGGCAATATGCTTGACCTAATCTTTACTAGAGGCTGTTCGCCTACTAATCTCACTGCAACCCTCCTCCAGGTCTCTGATCACTACTTTCCTTTTCCGTCTCCCTTTCCTCCAACCCTAGCCACTCAGCCCCTACCCAGATGGTCATGCGCTGTCGCAATCTCGCTGTCTCTCTCCCACTACTTTCTCCTCTTCTATCCTATCATCTCATCCCTTCCGCTAAATCCTTCTCACTCCTGTCTACTGAATCTGCCTCTTTACCCCTACTCCCCTCCCTTTCCGCATCCTATGGCTCGCACTGTCCCCGTTCCTCCTGGCCGGCTCGGCCCTCCCCTCCTGAAACATTGGCTGAGTGACTCATTGCTTACAGAACAGGGCTGCGGGCAGCTGAGCAAAAATGGAGGAAAAATAAACTTCCAGAGGACCTATCATCCTTCCACTCCCTCCTCTTTACATTCTGTTGCTCTGAATGCTCTGCTAAAGCCACTTTGTATTACTCTAAATTATAAGCTTCTGTCTCCTCCCTCCTTAATCCTCCACCCCTCCCTCTCCCTCCTCCCTCTCTGCGGACGACTTTGTCAACCACTTTGAAAAGAAGGTTAACGACATCTGCTCCTCATTCACTCAGCCTATTGAGTCCACTCATCCCACTCACACAGAACTACCCTGCGCCTTGACCTCTTTCTCCCCTCTCTCTCCAGATGAAATCCTGTGACTAGTGAGGTCCGTCCGCCCGACAACCTGCCTGCTTGACCCCATCCTCTTCCCCCTTCTCTAAAGACCTTCTCCCATTCCTCACATCCCTCATCAACTCATCCCTGACCACTGGCTGCGTCCCCTCTGACTTCAAAATGGCCCGAGTTGCTCCCCTTTTTAAGAAACCAACACTCGAATCCTCTGACGTAAAAAACTACAGACCGGTATCCCTTCTTTCTTTTCAAAACACTTGAGCATGCTGTCTTTGACCAACTGTCTCGCTATCTCTCTCAGAACGATCTTCTTGACCCTAACCAGTCAGGTTTCAAGACAGGTCACTCAACCGAGACTGCTCTTTTCTGTGTCACAGTGGCTCTCCGCACTGCCAAATCGGACTCGCTCTCCTCTGTTCTCATCCTCCTAGATCTATCCGCTGCCTTCAACACTGTGAACCACCAGATCCTCCTCTCTACCCTCTCAGGGCTGGGTGTCTCAGGTTCTGCACACTCTTGGATTGCATCCTACCTGGCAGGCCGCTCCTACCAGGTGTAGTGGAGATCTGTGTCTGCACCACGTACTCTCATGACTGGTATCCCCCAGGGCTCGGTTCTAGGCCCTCTCCTCCTCTCTATACACCAAGACACTCAGCTCTGTCAAATCCTCACATGATCTCTCCTATCATTGCTATGCGGACTCAACTACAACTACTTCTCTCCTCCCCCCTTGTGACCCCCAGGTGGCGACACGCATCTCTGCATGCCTGGCAGACATCTCAGCTTGGATGTCGGCCCACCACCTCAAGCTCAACAAGACGAAGATCATCTTCCTCCTAGGGAAGGCCTGCCCGCTCAAAGACCTCTCCATCACGGTTGACAACTCTACGGTGTCCCACTCCCAGAGTTCAAAGAACCTTGGCATGACCCTAGAAAACACACTGTCGTTCTCTGCAAACATCGAAGCAGTGACTCGCTTCTGCAGGTTTATGCTCTACAACATCCGTAGAGTACAACCATACCTCACACAGGAAGCGCCACAGGTCCTAATGCAGGCACTTGTCATCTCCGGTCTGGACTACTGCAACTCAAATAAAATAAATTTGTATTTGCCACATGCGCCGAATACAACAGGTGTAGACCTTACATTGAAATGCTTACTTACAAGCCCTCAACCAACAATGCAGTTTTAAGAAAATAAAAAAAAGTGTGAAGTAAAAAATAGATATGTAAAAGATAGTCCGGGTAGCCATGATTAGCTGTTCAGGAGTCTTATGGCTTGGGGGAAGAAGCTGTTAAGAAGCCTTTTGGACCTAGACTTGGCACTCCGGTACCGCTTGCCGTGCGGTAGCAGAGAGAACAGTCTATGACTAGGGTGGCTGGAGTCTTTGACAATTTTTAGGGCCTTCCTCTGACACCGCCTGGTATAGAGGTCTTGGATGGCAGGAAGCTTTGCCCCAGTGATGTACTGGGCCGTACGCACTACCCTATGTAGTGCCTTGCGATCGGAGGCCGAGCAGTTGCCATACCAGGCGGTGATGCAACCAGTCAGGATGCCCTCAATGGTGCAGCTGCATAACTTTTTGAGGATCTGAGGACCCATGCCAAATATTTTCAGTCTCCTGAGGGGGAATAGGCTTTGTTGTGCCCTCTTCACGACTGTCTTGGTGTGTTTGGACCACCAAGGAACTTGAAGCTCTCAACCTGTTCCACTACAGCCCTGTCGATGAGAATGGGAGCGTGCTCAGTCCTCTTTTTTTGCTGTAATCCACAATCATCTCCTTTGTCTTGATCACTTTGAGGGAGAGGTTGTTATCCTGGCACCACACGGCCAGGTCTCTGACCTCCTCTCTATAGGCTGTCTAACCTTAAAGCTAGGACAGCAGAGTCCCTGCCCATCTTCTGAAAACATCTGAAACCCTACCTTTTCAAAGAGTATTTTAAATAATTCCACAGCATTAACTGTATGTCTGCTACAGTAAATTACAAAAATTTAAAATGTAAATGACGTAAGAGGAGTCCACAGCACAAACCCTGGTAGCCACAGGATCACTTACAAAATACCTATTTCTACTGTGCAGTGAGAACCCATTAACACCCCCACACATCACACTGAGAGTGTGGGTGGGTAATATAAAACATGGATATCATTAGGCTTCATTGACAAAAGGCCTTTAGTAGACTAAGCGCTTGGGTCCACATCACTCAAACATAATTGGCTTATTTTACTATGTATTTTTTCCTGCGAGGGAACTTGTGTGAGTTTGGCACATTCAACAATGGAAGTTTAATTAGTCAGTCAATCTCTCCATCCATTTTTATTGATTGACCACAATGCAACTCCTTAAAGAGTTTTCACTACTGTCAAAGTGTTTCTATGCAGTAGGCAGATTCTTTGTCCTTCCCTCCCTCTTTGCTCTCTCTCTCTCTCTCTCTCTCTCTCCCTCTTTGCTCTCTCTCTCCCTCTTTGCTCTCTCTCTCCCTCCCTCTTTGCTCTCTCTCTCCCTCCCTCTTTGCTCTCTCTCCCTCTTTGCTCTCTCTCCCTCTCTCCCTCTTTGCTCTCTCTCTCTGCTCTCTCTCTCTCTTTCTCTCTCTTCGCTCTCTCTGCAGACAGACGAATAAAAGGAAGGATGCATGCACAAAGAGAATAAAGAGAGATAGACGCTTCTTTTAGAATATTTTTTCTTAGGGGGCAGGGGTGGGTTACCATAGAAACAGTGACACGTTTTGGAGTTGCGAGGCCAGGGTACAGATGGCCACCCAGCCAGTATATTACTTGGTTTGGTTTTAATAATGGATTAAAGAAGGAAAGCATAACAG